TACTGTGTTGCGGTTTTCAGAGTCCAAGTATGCGGTAATTTTTAATTTTATGACGCGGTAATCGGTGAAAAAATTGTTGTCACGCGGTGATCTGCTTCGTTGCTTTAAAGCATGACAACTATACAAATTTATAAAATAACTAAGATAGTACGCGCGCTCTGATTGGCCGAGAGGAGTTGGACGAGAGTATGTGAACATGGTTGTGGCGTTAAGATGTTTCTCTTTTCGCGCTAATCACGCAAGCACGAATTTGAAAAAGTTTTCGAGTTCAAAACTCGAAAAGTTTACTTTATTTATCAATTCCTCCGTCGGCGGAAACTTGGAAAATCATTACAAAGAAGGTGTGTCAAATTGTTTTCGCCTAAGCTGACAGTTTAAGCGAGAAAAATCCGTATTTTGAAAAGCATCTTTTTGCAAAACAAGAACTGATTACGCGTGCAAGACGCCGTGTACAAGACTTTGCGACTGGTAAGAATTTCTCTTTTAATCAGTGCTATAACAAAGAGGTTTGCGTTTTTTCTTGGGAAAGTTATTTTATAAAAGCAATGGAAAACTTTTTTCCTGTGTTTGCATAGCCTGATATAAACACTCGAGGGGTTGGGAGAATTTTCGACAGTTATGCGGCAAACCCTCCACTTCGTCTCGGGTTTGTCTGTCTCGAATTCTCCCAACCCCTCTCGTGTTTATGCAAACACGGAAAACGTTTTCTATTGCTTAACTATGGGTTCCTGACAAATCCTAAAAGGAGTCCTAAAAGGTCTGCCTAGGTTCCCTAGCCTGCCTGTCTCCCTAGTTGCACAGTCGGGGACAATGAGAGTCCAGACAATGCGCTCATAGACATGGTGGAGATTTTATTTTCGCGGGAAAAAGTGCCCTAAAATGTTTCTTGGCTAACGTTCTTACCGACCTTACCGTCTCCTTCGTGCCAGTCGCGAAACAATGGCGAGTGAACCAGATGGTGAACAGAGTGACTAGTCAGATAATCCAGCAAATAGTGAGGTCGTTATGAATTGCGTAGCAATTTTCTACGAAGAAGGAAAAGGGGGCGAGAAACAGAAAAAAAAAAAAGTTCCTTTGTTTGGTAAATCGAGGGGAGAAGAGGCTGGGGAAATTCAGGGAAACCGTTTGGTAAGTACTATAATCTTATTCTACTTACTCCTAACCTACCTCAACAGTACATCGATTACCGACATTTTCCTGTCCTACAGTCTACTTGAAAAAATGGACTGACAGTTATCGGACCTTATCGTATATGAGTTTCACTGAAAACGTTTGATAAACAAAGACGAGTGCGATGGTCGTACATGTATTTTTATCGTATGCTTAACATCGACGCACCTTAATCTGGAAACAGTATTCAAAAGACGGATTTTAGTCTTGAGAACGGCAACTTCTTCCCTTTTGCGACTGCGGTTTCGGTATTTGGGTAAATTTGATGCGGTATTGCGGTTTTCTCTCGGCTACCAAGTGCGGTATTGCGGTATTCGTACCTCCCTTACGCCCCCCTCCTTTTACGAAAAGATCTTCTGAATTGCATTTGAAGTTTAACGGAATTTTTTTCGAACATTACTGATTGTCACTCTTGTCACAGAAGGTATGCTGTCTCCTTTCCTCTTCCGTCCGTTCACTACTTTGAAGATCAAGTCATTGGCCTTCATGTTTTGCAGAAAGATCACGATCTGTTTTTGCCTTTTTTACATACCATGAGCGCGACAGATTACACATGAAATATGAGCGCGTTTTTATGTTGTTTGTTTGTTTGTTTTTCTTTTATCTCCTAAGTAGTTATAAAAGAGCCTAAGGCAGTATAAAACTTGTCTGGGATTGAAAGTTGTTCGGCACAGCCAGGCAAAAAAAAAAACAAAAAAAAAACAATTTCATTTAGCAAGATATGAGGTCAAGCAAGTGCACATCTTGTAACACAACCGGAGTTTAAAAATGCGAAGACATCCAATGACACTCAATCCCGGATATTGGAAAACCATGTGACCGTCAGCGGAGCGCCAGCGGAGCAGCATGGGTAAGAAAGTGAAGCAATCTACCCATCTGAGAAAATTTGGTAATCACGTGACCGTACACCGCCCGACCGAGGGACCGTCCGTCCGCACCACAGGCATACCAATGTAAAATAACTCAATCAACGGGTACAGCAACCCAAATGCAACTCGGTTATTTTGACGGGAAATCGCATAGCCACCGGCGTCTTGTAAGGCAGAGACAACTATAGAGTCAATAAAGACGAAAACGGAAAGCGGAAATTGTTGCTGTATCCGTGTTGTCTAAAGTATTTAGCTAGTTCAGACTAATTGTCATGTCCACAAATTTGGAATATAGATCAGGAGAAAGACAGAGAAAAAGAGAAAGTAGGCGTCGGGCCAGCGAAGCTCAACGAGAAAAAGAGCGACAGAGGTCTAGAGCGAGAGATAAAAAACAAAGGAGACATTTTTTTGTTGGAAGAATACCATGAAAATTTTGTAGTGGCGGTGACAAAATGGGAAATGCTAGCGGCCACCAATGAAAGGTAAAACTAAGCGGCAGTGAAAAAAAAGTGAAGGAGAACACGTACGACAGTTCCTCCATAAAACGAGGGTCGTGAAGGGGTAAAATGGGAACTGGGATTAGCCTTATTGTGGACTGGGAAAATGGGATTTACTCACTGGGACTGGGATTTAGCCACTGGGAATGGGATGAACAATTATAAAATGGGAATGGGATTTCTTTTCTTCAGTGGTCGTTGGTCCAATATTTTGAAATAGAAAAATAAAATTTCGTAGCAATAGATCTTGCACTCCTCAGTAGAGACCATGAAATCAGTATTTTTCGCCTTCGCGCCCGCGGTCTAGCTACCAGGCTTACACGGTTGCATAGTTACGTTCTGTCAGTTTTCCTGGTCAGCGGACAAGTTCTGCAAGTTTGCATATGAAGATATTGTGAAGGGAAGATAAAAATGGCTTCGGAAAAGGTTTCTCGCAAAATGGTACTAGAAATCAAGTACGTCAATGCAAATAACGCCGTTATACACACCGAAAACTCTAAACTTTTTGTTGGATTTAAACTGTAAACTGGTAACTGGGATTCTGGCAAAAATTAGCCTGGGAACTGGGATTTGGGCCAAATTTAGGCTGGGAACTGGGATTTGGTAACCCCCTTCACGACCCTCTAAAACGTGTGACTAAGAAGTTTCTGGAAGTTTCACGTTGTAGTCGTGAAAAACAACGGCAAAGAAATGTACAAAAAAAAGTGTGCTGCACGTGCAAAGTTGCTTTTTTTGCTAATTAGACCTATTGTTGTTTTCCACCATTTTCCGGCGTTGCCTTCGCCGCTTAGCATTACACGATTTCATATGTTTTTTTAACAAACAATAAATATTATCGAGAGCTTCGCTTTTAGCCCTGGCTAAATCTACATATTATTTTTACACTTTTTTTAAAAACTATGGGACCACTTTATTTGGCTTACCACTGTTGTGGTATCCCTATTTACATAGGCTCCTCTCAGATCATAAAGCCATTCCTACCTCCACTTTGAGTGACCAACAACGATTTTCTCCTAACATCATCACATCATCATAAATTAAAAAGGTTATGAGAATTGTTAAAAAGATCACAATCGAGTAAATGTTTTGATCATGAAACAATTTGTTTGTTAATACTGGGGTTTAAAGGGGTTAAGCAACATCCCCCACAAGTAAGACCCTTAAAATTATTGTCACAGAGCGATTTGTTGCACAGCTACAAATATCTTTGCTGTTCAATTTAGAACACCATGAACTGATCCTAAAAATGTTCAGCAACATGTGTTGGAACCAATGATTACAATTCCTGTGAGCTAGTCAAAACACCACAAACTAATCACCGTTGTTGATTGTACTTTATTTTTCCCACACTGCACCTGATTGGTTTATTCCTTGTGACACAATAACATTCCAGCAATGTTTTGAAAACAGCCTTATAATAATTAATTATTAAATTTTCTTGCCCGTAGAGTTCTCGAACTAAAATGTTCAGTGTGTGATAATCAACTGATAATAAAAACAACTTTGTAAAATTTAAACCATGTATTATTTAAAAATTGATTTGCGTTAGTTTCTCAGAAATACTGCTCATGCTATAGAATAATTACTAAAGGCTTGCTGCTTCAGTCTTACTTAATAGCATAGCATCAATTTCCAACCCAGCCCATTACACACACCCTCCCCACCCCAACCACTCAAATATGCGTGAAGACAATTAATAAGGAATGGTAACAGAAAGTACGTCAGGTATCATTGTGTAAACACTATTCCCCGTACTAACATCAAATGCAGTGGAGCCTTGAAGACACAGCCAACCTCTGTAATTAGTCTGGGCCCAGGCTCCGCATTGGGGGAAAAGGAGAGAAAAATTGGCTTTGGCAAAAAAAAAAAAATAAATAAATAAAAATCGGCGAGTGAAGCGAGCCAAGCGGTAGTCCTCCCCACCACTAAGCTTGCTTCGATAACACTGCTATTTGTCCTATTTCACCCCTTTTTTCTGCCTTTTTCCCCCATTACGGAGCCTACATGGTCCCAGGCCACCAACCTCAATATACTTTACAAAGTTCTCCAAAGTTATAAACACAATTAGTGACACTTTTATCAATCTATTTTAATTTGCCACGCACCTGCTAGATAAAAAAATTAGGACCAAAAAAGTGAATGTTATCTACACTATGTCTTCTTTTTAATAGAGCTGAATTAGTTGAAGGATTGTCTGTAGGTGCGAATTTTCATCCTCAACCTCATTCAATGTCAGATTACAATGTGCTTCCAGTATTTTAAACATAACTTTTTTTTTTTATAATTTGTGCCACTGAATTGTAAATAACTTTAATTTATATAAATATTGTAATCACAACAATATCAGTACTTTTTACAGTGTAATTGTATTTGAAATATTAACATCATAAACTTAATGTAGTTATAAAAAGATGGTTAACCTCAAGTGAATCAACTAACCAAACAGAGGGTGCTGTGAGTCAAATCACTGAACCAGCTCCAAAGAATCCTTAACAGTTAAGGCTGCAGCATCAGGTGATGGCTTGTTAGCCATCCATGACAAGTATGCATTCCAAAATATTGCTACAATTTGGACAAAGCCAACACGGTGCTGAATAGGAACAAACGTAAAATTCAGAGTCTGTGCAAGGGGCCAGATCTTATAATTTGTGATCAGTGTCTGTACGTAGCGTTCCTGGAGCATCTCTTTAATTTCATGTGGTCGTTTTCCAGCAAGTGTCTCTGACACACTAAAAAAGAAGCATATCATAACAGGAGCAAAGAGACTCTGATCCAACAGCATCTTTTTAAAGCCGGCAGTTTTGGCAGTCCCAGGGATAATCCTTTCCAGTGTAAGATACCATGATCTTAGCACAGGGCCAATAACTAGTCCAACCACGCCCATACGAGCTGTTCTTCTGAAGTCATGACTTGTGCCTCTTCGCTCAGCAAATTGCTGGGTGATGACATCTCCAGCAGCGACAAGGACACCTAAGGCAAAAACAAGAAGTAATGAAGAGTTATACTGTCTTTGCAGCCCAGGGGAAAGCAATCCCGTATTTAGCCTTAATGGGTAACAGCACTGAACATGGTATGGGTTTGGGGGGTTGAGAGTCTTCAAACTGAGTACACAATTTTGCCATTAGCCTCTCAAACAGGGTGCTGCCTTGAACAGGCTGTAAAATGTGGGAGATTTCAATCAGTGTACATGTACATGTGTGTGTGAGGGGGGATTCAATAGCCTAAATATGGGTTGGAGAGTCTCTTGTCTAAAATAGAGTAGTGAAATGGACGGCTTTAAGGCCTTATGGAGGCACACAGGGTATATAAATGAGGCAGCAAGTGAGATTGGCAGCAACAGCTTAATCAACCCAGTCAATTTGCCACTTCCTCTGTACTTTTATACTTTACATAAACACATTAGAAAATCACTCTTTTTCTTCCTTTCTTTTATCTTTAATTTACCCATGGTCTGAGTGTAACCCAGGGATGAGTATCAATTCTACCCTGGGACTGGGGGTGGGAGGAGGGGGGGCAGTATAGGATCACTGATTTGGGGGGAATAGGGGGACTGTCCTCACATCACTGTAGCTCACATCCAGGAGGTGTGAAGAAATTCCTTCCACTTTAACTTCTGTGAACTTGGATCGCACTCCCTCCCCCCTTGGTACATTCGCACCCTACATGAACGCGAGTTACAGTATTTATGGAGTAATAGGGAACTGTGAAGTCTAATGGGAATTAACATCAGCAGGGTGCAAAGAAAGTCAGTTATATACAGCTTTTCGTTTGGGCATTAGCCCAAAGGTCATTTCAGCTAGCCCCAAACACTTTTTGATGAGGTAACTGCAATGATTTCACAGTTCTTAGACTGTAATTTTAATCCCTCAAAAAACATCACTGTCCTGCACAGTGGGCAAGTTAAGAATGAAATCCACTAGCGCAATAGCAAAATCCACTAGTCCAGAGCTATTGGACACTACCTTCTTTAATGCAATAATATTATGATGCCTAGTTGTACCATAGCATGTTCATGGATAGCTTACATATACATCAGAACCCCTTAAGCCATAAAACAAATACTTGTACCTGTTTTAAAGAAGATAACCAAAATTTTGACCCTGGAGTGCTAACCTGAACAATTTTTATGATTGTAATTTTTGCAGGCACAAAGCCTGCTTTGAAACTTGAAAAGGGTGGCACAACTTTTTCAAGTTTTAATCAACATCTATATCCTTGCCATTCATAGCTACAGACAATAAACCCTTGTCACCAACCAGCCATTTTGTTCCAAGAGATTAAAAAATCTTTGTATTTGCACAGCTAGCCTCATTCTCACTGCCAGCTAGGCTAACTGTGCAAAAACAAAGCTTTTTAAATCTCCTGGAACAAAATGGCCGTTGTGTGACAAAGGTCGATAGGATATTGTTTCAATGCCTAATTTATATTTAATAGCTGTGCATAACAAAACTGGACCATTATTTTTGGAAGTTAGAAAATAGTGTGGCATAGCCCCTTTAATCTTTCTATTGTGAGAATCTCACTAAGAACATACGGTACTATAATGAAAGTCTCTCACTCGTAGAACATTGCTCTCAAATTATTTGTAGCAAAAATCTCACTATTTGATTGATTTACATTTAGCCAAAGATTCGTTTATATTAGTGCCAATGATGTGGATGCTTGTTCAAATGTTTGAGTTACATTGTAGGAAGATAAATGTGTGTTTACTTGTATACAGTTCCTCAGTTAATGCCCACTGTTTAAGATGTAATGACTTACAATAAAGTCCACAAAAACTAACAACAAAATAAAAACAAAAGAAGGTTATGCATAAATGTCCAGGTGAACATAGTCCAGAATAGGACTGTAATGTTGACAGTCACTGGCGTTTCGACAATCTGTAGTATTCATCTTCAGAGTCACTCAGAAGATGAATACTGCACAGGTTATTGAAACGTCAGTAACTGTCAACATTCAGGACTACGTTCACCCAGACAAACATACTCAGCCTACTTATGAAATGACTCCTGGGTTCAAACCTTTCACAAAATAAGAGCAATAAGTAGACAATAGACGTATTTTACAATCTGGTGGCCTATTAAATATGTATTCTTTTATAGGATTATAATAACCATTTCTGACCTTGTTAACATGTGCAAAATACAAAACAATTCTTACTTTCAAACGAGGTCAGAAAGCCTGAATTTATCACACGTATAAAAAAATATATATTAATAGGACACCATTGTGAAAGAGGTATAAAGCTGGCCCATACATGTATACTAATCAGATGTGTCAGAGATACACACACACTCAGATGCAGAGGTACAAATTGCACACACGCATTTTTTGGACTCTTGTTTTGAGCTGCATGCACTGTACATATACGTAGGTATCTGGCGCAACTGTGAAATTTGCATGAAGACAGTCTGTGGGCCAAGAGCATTATCCTCTGGATAATGTTGTTGTTGTTGTCCCTCAAAAGTATAAACCATGAATGATGAGGCCTCAAGTATTTATGGGTATACATGTATGTTCATTAGCAAAGCAAATTCAAAGTTCTTTTGACAAAAGTTTACATTGTCACAAGATACTCGTGCGGATGCAAATACCTAAAGTACTTTCTGCAGGCATGCTGTTGTTGTTGTTGTTTTTTTTGTCTTCCAAGAAAGCTTTTTATGTCCTATCTTATGATTTTCAAGTGTGTGTTTGTGATATGCCTATGGTCTTTAACTGTAGACATCTCTTATGTGTCCAGGACAGGTGAAGCTGTGAGCTTTTTGCCATGAGATCTGCAAACCGTTTGATATTTTTTGGATGCATTGTCACCAAAAGCTTCAATAAAGTAAACATTTCTGAAAAGAACTTGCAATGCTAATAAAGTTCTACCCATAAATCCATTAGGTCCCATCGTTCATGGTTTATACTTTTCAAGCAACAATGTTTTTTCAATCAGGCCCCAGTTGTTCAAAAGGTAGATAATTAATCCTATCCATTGGATAAATCTCTATCCACTGAATAGCGCAATTCATTTTCCTAACACTTATTCACTGGATAATGATTTATCCTGTGGATAGCACTATCCATCTTTTGAACAACCAGGACCAGGTGTATACCAGAGCTGTCAACCCCCCACATCTTCAAATATTGAGACTTGATGAGATAAGGGATGATAAATATGATGTCATAATGGCCACGGCACATGACATCATTTGTGAAAAAAACTGCACAAAAAAAATTTTGTTGGAATTGTAACATTTGACCTAATTGGCTTACTTCCCACCAACCACATTATTGCTTACATGTATATTACAATGGCATACTGGAGTTTGTGAGGAAATGTTTGATGTTAACAGTAAAATAGCTCAAACAAAGCATTAGTATTTGAAAAAATTCCACTGTCAGAAAGTCGATTCTACAAGAAATGGCAAACCATGGTGATTATCCATGAGATTTCAGACTCTAACCTGGAGACTGGGAGAAATGGTTCAAAATCTGGAGTCTCCCGGATTATCCGGGAGAGTTGACAGCCCTGTGTATACAGTCAAACCCCGTTTTTTGGACACCTGCTTAATAAAGACACCTTATTATTACAGACAGTTTGCTTTGTCCCTGGGGAAAGAAAGTCCTTAAGTTACCCTTAAGTTACATTTTCTCTGAATTCAACCCAGTTGATATGGACACCCCTCAGTGCATGACTGTGTTAACAGAGTTAATGTTTACAAAATAATGTTAGAGTAGTGTGTACCCAGGTAAAAATGTGAGGCGGGATCCCGCCAATCCCACCTGGGATCCCAGGTTAATCCCAGGTGGGATCCCGCCAGAAATAGGCGGGATCCCTCCTGGGATCCCGCCCGGGATTATGGAACGTCCCGGGAGGCATCCCACCTGGGATCCCAACTAGGATCCCACCAATCCCACCTAGGATCCCAGCTGAAATCCTGGGTGGGGTCCAAGAAACCATCCCACCTGGGATTTGTAAAAATCCCGCCAATCCTACCCGGGATCCCGCCTGAAATCCCGGGTGGGATCAAAGATATCCCACCTGTGATATCAGATGGGATATCCTACCTTTCCTGGCAGCATCGAATGCAGGTTGTTAAATTGATGGGATCCTGCTATCCCACCCTGTCATACACAGGAAATTGATATTTATCGTAGAGGGATTTGAAGACATATAACTTCTGCACCATATTTTTAACTTAATCTGCAAATTTATTAGGAAAATACAGCTAATATACATGTAAGTCTTGAATAAAATGCAACTTTAATAAGTCTACATATACAATATTCAGTCATTGCAGAACATTCAAATATGTGATTAAATCTTTTGAAAAAAAAACCACAACAACACAAATGCAGTATTTTCATGGAGAAGTTTCATTCGAAACCCCAAGTTAAAGTTTGCCTAATTTGCTTATCGTGTAGACTTTTGGCTGATGTCGTGCTCTTCAGTGCCATACACTTTTCTTTTGACTGCAACGAATAAGTATCTGCAAACAGAAAAGTTGAGATTTTAAGGCAAATGAACACAAAAACAACCTGACGTTTTAGAATTGAAACGGACGAGTATCGAAGCGTGATCGAAGGTGACCGATCCAACTTGTTTAGGTACGCGAAAAGGGGAGACAACACGGGTAAATCGAAACTCAAGTTGAGAAAAACATCACTTACCAACGTTAGGAATACTTTTTGTTGAACCTGGCAGGAAAACGACTTTAAATTGAAGTAAAAAGAAGCGTCTTCTTGTAAAGATGCATGCTTTACAGTTCGTCTTCTTTGACTTGAAAGTGCCCAAAAAGGCCCATGTGACGATAAAACGCTGAATACGCATGTGTTGAACTCACGGGCTTCCCTGGGAACTAGTGGAAACAAAATGGCTGACAAACACCGAGGACTGCAGCTAGCGTTTCGCAGTTTTGACCATGAATTTCTATTCAGGAGTCGTCCATAATCAAGACGAAGGATCGAAGCTAATATAAAAGAAGAAAATGATGCATGGAGGTATCATTTCAAGTGAAGAAACTCTAGGGAAAAGCTAGAAAGGAAAGTTAAGTCAGGAATGATGGATGTAGCGATTCATTAATGCTTTACAAAAATCTTCTCACTAAGAAACTATCTGCAAGCACAAAAAAAATTGTAGTAAATGATTTTTAAGTTTTTTAGTTTTAAACACTGCTTTTTACGTTGGAAGTATGCTTTTTGTGTGTTTGTATAAAATAAATATTGTTTTGTTGAAAGTCATTTTTACATGTATGTACAGGACAATTTATGAACGATGGTGTCATTTTCTGCTTATAAAAAAACATTTGTAATTTAATACAATAAGTTGTCCTTTGAAATTAAATTGGGTACAGGAAGACGATAAATTCCAGCCGTATTTTTAACTCCACATGCAGAAATGTAGAATAATAAGTTAATTAGACTGCTTGCTAAGATATGTTTAACACATAATTATATATAACCTACATGGCTGTTAAAAGTCTTCTTAATTAAGTTTGACTTAACTTTTGCAAGTATGAATAAATCTTCTAAAATCCCAGGAGGGATCGTACATGTGAAATTATCCCAATGTTCCCAGGTGGGATGTATGTAAAGATCCTGGGTGACAATGTGTGATCCCAGGTGGGATATGTGAATCCCACCCAGGATCCCGGGTGGGATGTGTGGATCCCACCCAGGATCCCAGGTGGGATGTGATAATCCCGTGTTTTAGGCGGGATCCCAGGTGGGATTAATTTTTAATCCCAGGTGGGAATGGCGGGATCCCGCCATTAGAGGCGGGATCCCGCTAATCCCACCCGGGATCCCAGGTGGGATTAGCGGGATCCTGCCGGGATCCCGCCTGACTTTTTACCTGGGTACAACTGGCAGAGTAATGGATACAACTGATAGCATAGTGCACACAACCAACAGAAATAATGTTAAAATGAGAGTCTCTCTCTGGAACGCCAAATATCAAGAGGAGACATATGAAAGAGCAACAAAAAATGATGCCAAATAAGGGATGAGAAATAAATGACAAGAAGACAATGATATGAAACAAGTGACAAAAATAATTTTAAAACAAACAGCGCACCACTGTATGGTTTCATGCCCACAGTTTCGTTTGATTTAGGCCTTTTCTATTTTGCTATGTTTTCCATTTTGAGTGCATCGAGATCTAACAATACACAAACTGTCCGAACTGTGTCTCCAAACGTCCTCATGCAAATTAGAGGACATTGCAAGCTTAATAATGGCAAATCCGCAAATCCGAAGCTCGTTTGTCTTTCAAAACAATTCTAAGCCCCTACAATGCGATCGGTAAAAGGATTTAAGCTTATTTCACAGCAATTAAGCCTTGGATTTTTAGAAGACTTCACCTCACTCAAATGATTTGAGTGAGATGATGTCTCCTCAAATCCATCATGAAAAAAAAATTTAAAAACGGAATTTCATTAATTACAATACCTGTTCCTATAGTTTGTGTTTTCCAAGGATGTGTTATAAGCAGCTGTTGATATTTCGCCCAAGCTCTTCTTAGAATACTCATTACGGCTTGCCTTATATGACTTATATCTCTGTTTTTTTTAGCGCTGATTGAGCGCTATGATCCGCTGGAGACCCTGGAGATCGCAGGCAAGTAATTCATGGCAGTCTCCATATAGACTCCCTGATATGTTATCTCTTATACCTTGTATACCACTATATATCTTATGTGTACCCATGTTTACCCTAGTAATACTGTATACCCTGTATACCCCTATATATCCTGTGTACCCATGTTTACCCTAGTAATACTGTATACCATGTATACCCCTATATAACCTGTTTACCCATGTTTACCCTAGTAATACTGTATACCCTGTATACCCCAATATATCCTGTTTACCCTTGATTACCCTAGTATACCCTGTATACCCCTATATATCCTGTGTACCCATGTTTACCCTAGTAATACTGTATACCCTCTATACCCCTATATAACCTGTTTACCCATGTTTACCCTAGTAATACTGTATACCCTGTATACCCCTGTATATCCTGTTTACCGTTGATTTCCCTAGTAATACTGTATACCCTGGATACCCCTATATAACCTGTTTATCCATGTTTACCCTAGTAATACTGTATACCCTGTATACCCCTATATATCCTGTTTACCCTTGAGTACCCTAGTAATACTGTATACCCTGGATACCCCTATATAACCTGTTTATCCATGTTTACCCTAGTAATACTGTATACCCTGTATACCCCTATATATCCTGTTTACCCTTGATTACCCTAATAATACAGTATACCCTGTATACCCCTATATATTCTGTGTACCCATGTTTACCCTAGTAATACTGTATACCCTGTATACCCCTATATAACCTGTTTACCCATGTTTACCCTAGTAATACTGTATACCCTGTATACCCCTGTATATCCTGTTTACCGTTGATTACCCTAGTAATACTGTATACCCTGGATACCCCTATATAACATGTTTATCCATGTTTACCCTAGTAATACTGTATACCCTGTATACCCCTATATATCCTGTTTACCCTTGATTACCCTAATAATACAGTATACCCTGTATACCCCTATATAACCTGTTTACCCATGTTTACCCTAGTAATACTGTATACCCTGTATACCCCTATATATCCTGTTTACCCTTGATTACCCTAGTAATACTGTATACCCTGTATACCCCTATATAACCTGTTTACCCATGTTTACCCTAGTAATACTGTATACCCTGTATACCCCTATATATCCTGTTTACCCTTGATTACCCTAGTAATACTGTATACCCTGTATACCCCTATATAACCTGTTTACCCATGTTTACCCTAGTAATACTGTATACCCTGTATACCCCTATATAACCTGTTTACCCATGTTTACCCTAGTAATACTGTATACCCTGTATATCCCTATATATCCTGTTTACCCTTGATTACCCTAATAATACAGTATACCCTGTATACCCCTATATATCCTGTGTACCCATGTTTACCCTAGTAATACTGTATACCCTGTATACCCCTATATAACCTGTTTACCCATGTTTACCCTAGTAATACTGTATACCCTGTATACCCCTGTATATCCTGTTTACCGTTGATTACCCTAGTAATACTGTATACCCTGTATACCCCTATATAACCTGTTTATCCATGTTTACCCTAGTAATACTGTATACCCTGTATACCCCTATATATCCTGTTTACCCTTGATTACCCTAGTAATACTGTATACCCTGTATACCCCTATATAACCTGTTTACCCATGTTTACCCTAGTAATACAGTATACCCTGTATACCCCTATATAACCTGTTTACCCATGTTTACCCTAGTAATACTGTATACCCTGTATATCCCTATATATCCTGTTTACCCTTGATTACCCTAATAATACAGTATACCCTGTATACCCCTATATATCCTGTGTACCCATGTTTACCCTAGTAATACTGTATACCCTGTATACCCCTATATAACCTGTTTACCCATGTTTACCCTAGTAATACTGTATACCCTGTATACCCTGTATATCCTGTTTACCGTTGATTACCCTAGTAATACTGTATACCCTGTATACCCCTATATAACCTGTTTATCCATGTTTACCCTAGTAATACTGTATACCCTGTATACCCCTATATATCCTGTTTACCCTTGATTACCCTAATAATACAGTATACCCTGTATGCCCCTATATAACCTGTTTACCCATGTTTACCCTAGTAATACTTGTATACCCTGTATAATCCTATATATCCTGTTTACCCTTGATTACCCTAGTAATACTGTATACCCTGTATGCCCCTATATAACCTGTTTACCCATTTACCCTAGTAATACTGTATACCCTGTATACCCTATATATCCTGTTTACCCTTGATTACCTAGTAATACTGTATACCCTGTATGCCCTATATAACCTGTTTACCCATGTTTACCCTAGTAATACTGTATACCCTGTATAATTTCTATATAACCTGTTTACCCATGTTTACCCTAGTAATACAGTATACCCTGTATACCCCTATATAACCTGTTTACCCATGTTTACCTAGTAATACTGTATGCCCTGTATATCCCTTTATATATCCTGTTTACCCTTGTTGCCCTAGTAATACTGTATACCCTGTATGCCCCTATATAACCTGTTTACCCATGTTTACCGTAGTAATACTGTATACCCTGTATGCCCTATATATCCTGTTTACCCTTGATTACCCTAGTAATACTGTATACCCTGTATACCCCTATATAACCTGTTTACCCATGTTTACCCTAGTAATACTGTATACCCTGTATACCCCAATATATCCTGTTTACCCTTGATTACCCTAGTAATACAGTATACCCTGTATACCTCTATATAACCTGTTTACCCATGTTTACCCTAGTAATACTGTATACCCCGTATATCCCTATATATCCTGTTTACCCTTGATTACCCTAGTAATACTGTATACCTTGTATACCCCTATATAACCTGTTTACCCATTTTACCCTACTAATACTGTATACCCTATATAATTTATATATCCTGTTTTGCCCTTGAGTACCCTAGTAATACTGTATACCCTGTATACCCCTATATAACCTGTTTCCACATGTTTACCTTAATAATACTGTATACCCCGTGTTCCCTTATATATCCTGTTTACCCTTGATTACCCTAGTAATGCTGTATACCCTGTATACCCCTATATCATGACCTGTTTACCCATGTTTACCCTAGTAAAACTGTATACCCTGTATACCCCTATATATCCTGTTTGCCATTGTGTTATAATTATCCTCAACATTAAGGCTCGAACTCGAGAACTTGAAGAAAGAGTGTGAAAACAATAGCTACACTTGTAAATCACACTTGTACAAGTTTTATAAAACATTGACCCCTAACTATATTTCACCCCTACTTTTCCAGTCCTTTTTATCCGAATTTCCTTGCCTGTGATAAGAAAGAGTCACTGAAATTTACGCCCGAAATTTACCTAGATAACTTGATTTCTCAGGTTCTTTTAACTCCACTGGGATGCCCTCATGTTACTGAGAAAAAACGCAAGTTTAAAACAAATTTTGATTTTCATTGGTGAATCGAACAGATCACGTTTTTCTTATATAAAAAATGCCTAATCATGTTAGCATTTTTGATAAATTTTCTCTATACCATTACACTGAAGTGCTGAAAAAACTGATCAGTTTTAACATGGCAATCGACTGCGATAACTCGAACAGTTTCTCGTTTCACTTCAGAGTTCTAGTTCCGGGGTTTCTGATCAGTGATTAATATATTTAACATTATTTCAAATATTTCATTTAAAAAGGAACCATAATTTAATTCAAGTAGCTTGTTGTTATAGTCATGCAAATAAAGCTTATTGCTGTTGTTGTTATTGTAATAAATTACTGCACATAGAAGATGTCCCAAGAGAGTGATTTTAAAACCTAGTAATCAGTTCCTTGGCCCCTTGATCATTACCTGCATGGTCTTAGTCTAACCGCGCCGGTAAAGGGTTTCGGGCTGTTAGCTAGATGTTTTTACTTTGTAAAGAGGGTGCATGCGCACTGTGTTGCAACGTGTCTTTGAACAGCATAAAAGAGTCCTGTATAAATATTTGGGATTGTTAGCAACACTCTCCCTTGCAAGGTGTGCGTTCAAAAAATAAACTAAGATGTTTTAGAATAAACGTGCGCAGTCGAGCTGTCGTATCTGTAAACCGACTATGCAGGGAAATTACGAAACTGGTAAAACGGATTGGAGCGGAATCAAATTGTGGTCCACTATTTCAGACCCTCAACCGTCTTTCCAATGTTTTACTGTGATTCATCATATAGTTACATTTTCCATTGAAAAATGGTGGTGTACTGAAATTTAGGACCGAGCAGGCAGACAGGTGCGACTTAAGGACCTCCGGAAAGCCGTTGGACAACCAAACCCAATGCCAGGGGGATTCTAGCAGGTGCATGCTGACATCCGTTCACAAAGTTCCTAATTTGGTTGTCGAAAATGCAATACCTCCGCTTTAGATCTTTAATTTTTGCGACAATGAATGAAATTACTAGACCAAAAGACAAAAGAAAGTAAGTCGGAGTAAGGTGACAAATGAGCTTTTGAAGCCCTTGTCGAACAAGCCATTCGTCTACAAAAGATACTGAGTCATTAACACGTAACAAAAAAGTTGTCCTTGTATCACTCAAAGACTGATCATACAGGCATAAAAAGATACCCGACTTTTTCTATACAATGGAAAGGATATACATACAAAGGATATACAAGGGTATACAGGGTATACAGTACTACGAGGGTAAACATGGGTGCACAAGGTATATATGGGTATACAGGGTGTACAGTATTTCTAGGGTAAACATGGGTAAACAGGACATACAAGGGTATACCAGGTATACAGTATTACTAGGGTAAACATGGGTACACAGGATATAAAGGGGTATACAAGGTATACAGTATTACTAGGGTATTAATGGGTACACAGGATATATAGGGGTATACAGGGTATACAGTATTTTTAGGGTAAACATGGGTACACAAGATATATAGGGGTATACAGGGTATACAGTACTATTAGGGTAAACATGGGTGCACAAGGTATATAGGGGTATGCAGGGTATACAGTACTACTAGGGTAAACATGGCTACACAAGATAAATAGGGGTATACAGGGTATACAGTATTACTAGGGTAAACATGGGTGAACAAGGTATATAGGGGTATACAGGGTATACAGTACTACTAGGGTAAACATGGGTACACAAGATATATAGGGGTATACAGGGTACACAGTATTACTAGGGTAAACATTGGTACACAGGATATATAGGGGTATATAGGGGTATACAGTATTACTAGGGTAAACATGGGTGCACAAGGTATATAGGGGTATACAGGGTATACAGTACTACTAGGGTAAACATGGGTACACAAGATATATAGGGGTATACAGGGTATACAGTACCATTAGGGTAAACATGGGTGCACAAGGTTATAATATAGGGGTATACAGGGTATACAGTATTACTAGGGTAAACATGGGTGCACAAGGTATATAGGGGTATACAGGGTATACAGTACTACTAGGGTAAACATGGGTACACAAGATATATAGGGGTATACAGGGTATACAGTACTATTAGGGTAAACATGGGTGCACAAGGTTATAATATAGGGGTATACAGGGTATACATGAGTATTACTAGGGTAAACATGGGTGCACAAGGTATATAGGGGTATACAGGGTATACAGTACTACTAGGGTAAACATGGGTACACAAGATATATAGGGGTATACAGGGTATACAGTATTACTAGGGTAAACATTGGTACACAGGATATATAGGGGCATACAGGGTATACAGTATTTTTTAGGGTAAACATGGGCACTATTAAGGTAAACATACAGGGTATACAGTACACTAGGGGTTACACAAGATATATAGGGGTATACAGGGTATACAGTATTACTAGGGTAAACATGTGGGTACACAGGATATATAGGGGCATACAAGGTATACAGTATTACTAGGGTATTCATGGGCACACAGGATATATAGGGGTATACAGGGTATACAGTATTACTAGGGTAAACATGGGGCACAAGATATATAGGGGCATACAGGGTATACAGTACTACTAGGGTAAACATGGGTACACAAGATATATAGGGGTACACAGGATATATAGGGGTATACAAGGGTATTAAGGGTACAGGGTACACAGGATATACAGTATTATATAGGGTAAACATGGGTACACAGGATATATAGGGGTATACAGGTATACAGTATTACTAGGGTAAACATGGGTAAGATATACATAGGGGCACAGGTATATATAGGGGTATACAGGGTATACAGTACTACTAGGGTAAACATGGGTACACAAGATATATAGGGGCATACAGGGTATACAGTATTAGGGTAAACATGGGTAAACATGGGTAAACAGGTTATATAGGGGCATACAGGGTATAAACTATTAGGGTAAACATGGGTACACAGGTTATATATAGGGGTATACAGGGTATACAGTATTACTAGGGTAAACATATACACAGGATATATAGGGGCATACAGGGTATACAGGGTATACATGGGTAAATTACTAGGGTAAACATGGGTAAACACACAGGTTATATAGGGGTATACAGGGTATACAGTATTACTAGGGTAAACATGGGTACACAGGTTATATAGGGGTATACAGGGCATACAGTATACAGGGTAATACTAGGTAAACATGGGTATACAGGGTTATATAGGTAAACATACAGGGTATACAGTATTACTAGGGTAAACAGGTTATATAGGGGCATACAATAAGGTATATAAACATGGGCAAACAGGTTATATAGGGTATACAGGGTATACAGTACTACTAGGGTAAACATGGGTACACAAGATATATATAGGGGTATACAGGGTATACAGTACTATTCGGGTAAACATGGGTGCACAAGGTTATAATATAGGGGTATGCAGGGTATATAGTACTACTAGGGTAAACATGGGTACACAAGATATATAGGGGTATACAGGGTATACAGTATTACTAGGGTGATCAAGGGTAAACAGGATATATAGGGGTATACAGGGTATACAGTATTACTAGGGTAAACATGGGTAAACAGGTTATATAGGGGTATACAGGGTATACAGTATTATTAGGGTAAACATGGGTACACAGGTTATATAGGGGTATACAGGGTATACAGTATTACTAGGGTAAATATGGGTGCACAAGGTATATAGGGGTATACAGGGTATACAGTACTACTAGGGTAAACATGGGTACACAAGATATATATAGGGGTATACAGGGTATACAGTATTACTAGGGTAAACATGGGTAAACAGGTTATATAGGGGTATACAGGGTATACAGTATTATTAGGGTAAACATGGGTACACAGGTTATATAGGGGTATACAGGGTATACAGTATTACTAGGGTAAATATGGGTGCACAAGGTATATAGGGGTATACAGGGTATACAGTACTACTAGGGTAAACATGGGTACACAAGATATATATAGGTGTATACAGGGTATACAGTATTACTAGGGTAAACATGGGTACACAGGATATATAGGGGTATACAATATCGCACTAATATATTAGGGAGTCTATATGGAGACTGCCATGAATTACTTGCCCGATCGCAGCCGCCATGTTTTTTATTTCGGCAACCGAGCGGCCCTGGGAAGGAATTTGAATCGACTATTTTTTCGGTGGGGAGGAGCGGGGGCAGGTTTGGAGGGGAGGGGATCACTTGATTTTTAGGAGAACAGAAGGGGGCATCATTCGTAATTGGGAACCCAAAAAAGAAATCATTGCAGAAGAATTAGAAGAATTGAGAAGGACGACTCACATTAGACTAAGAGTAGTCTCTCTTTTTTTCTGTAGTCCGTCGAGCAAAACGCGAGACACGCAAATGGCCACGCGCGTGACTGATAGCGCGAGACGGGAGAGGCACGTTTCGCGCGTCTCGCGGCTTCGCCGCTCCCGCGCGCGTGCATTGCTGTCACTAAATCTGACGAAAAAGAGAGACTGCTCGCATTCTAGACTCACATGTGTTGGACAATGCCAGTTTGAGAGCATATAAAGTAAATGCGTCCATTCTACTGGGAGGTAAAAGTGTTTGCAGTCTCGATTTATTCTAACCGCAACTTTATTTAGAAAGCACAAGTCTGTTACACTTTCGAAATAGTACATCTCAATTTATATGGAGAACGTTTTGTGGCACTTTAATATTTACTCTTTTATAACGTGCTTATACCTAAGCTAATATTTAACTAATTTGAACATAACAGGTGAATTCTAAATTGGAAACCATAACTTTATAGATAACTAAATCACATTGTCAAACAGCGTCGATCATCGCTTCTTTACCAACGGGCACACTAACTCAGCTCTATACTAACTCCGATTCAACCGCCGCTCGTCTGTGTTATCTTGAGTGTTGTGAAAAAGGGAAGACGTTTGGCTGGAGAATATTAGGCTTTAATCACCAAATCTCTTACTAAAACAGACATTGATATGGCGGCAAACTGTAACCACGAGGATTACAGGCTCATACAATAAAGTCAAATCAAACTACATATACAACGCAACGAATTATAATGTAACGCGATACGTCAAACAACTCTCGCAGTGTTCAAGTGTTTCTAGTTTCTAGCTTTAGTTTGCAATGTCATTTACACCACATTGAGTCTCATCATCCAGTATTTCTTTATTTGTGTTTGGAGCCTTATCATCCGATTCATTTAGTCCGGCCTTACGGCAGGTTGACCTAGCCTGCGAATCAGGCCGCGAGACCCCTTCCCCTTCCCCTTTTAACGCCTGCCACGCAGGCTACGGTTCCAGATTTTAAAATCATGGATGGATTTAGGAGTGGGCACCCTTTCCCAGCTCTAAACACTAAATCTGCTTTAACCGTTCTCGTAGTCGTACTTATCTTAGGATTTGAAGGTCTCTACATTAGAGTTTATTATTGCCATAAAAAGTGTTACAGAGTCCTTATAGTTACACCTATCTACGAATACTGGACCACTCCCATCTTGACCCTTTTGGCAAGCAAGTGAAATAGTTTGATTCAGTTACGTTACCAAAAGTTGTTAGATCATCAATTTATATTAATCCTCTGCTGAAATCCCAAAACTTGACCACTTCCGGCATTCAAGTTTATTCATGCAATTTGAACTATTTTCTTGCACTTGATCAAATAAATCTACAAATACCGTTTCAAGCATTTGCTTTTAATATTTTATTCGTGCTTTGTTCATTATAAGTAAAATACAAAAGGATGAAAACACTAGCAAATCTCTGGGCCAGAACTGAGTGGAAATGTTTATGAGACATTTTGTGAGTCGTGGTGGTATTGTTCTGTAAAAACATATTCTATTTGTTACAAAAATTGTACGTTACATTTGTTAATTTTTGAATTTGAGTTAGAACAACACTTACTTTGATCTGGAATTACAAACAAGTGAAGATTTATGTGCCACAAATCTAAACCCGCCCATTAACAGATCTAGACCAGGACAGCAAGGTTTTGTAGCAGGTTCTCCCTTCCTTAAACTAACCAATTCCAGATCTGGCTTATGTAATGGTTAAAAAAAATGACTCTAGAGTATATTTAAAAGGCAATTTAAGCGTGGATTAACATGAATCCAATGCATCAAGTGTATCAGAAAGGTTGTCCAAGATCATCCCATGTCACTGATGATGGCTAAACTAACCATATGCATACAAAATATAGGGAAAGCAAGCTAAATATAATACGCAGTACCACAAATGCCTTGTAATTCTGTGTCTCCCTTAGTCGGGTTCATTTGGGTCATATTGATGCCTAGCATTTTTAATTTATTCATTCAGTTATTTTTTCTGATTTCATGTTTAAATTTATTCCTTTCTTTTTTGTCTCTGCATTACGGTATGGCAGCCTTATTGAGTTGTTTTTGTTGTCATTTTAACATTTTTAATTAACTAGATCAGTCTTAGATCCTGGGTTTGCCAGCAATGTTTGCTTTAATTTGATCCCTGCACGGCTCTGTTTGTTTGTTGCGCATTATATTTTGTTGGCTGTGGCAGTGAAAAAGCAGATTTTAAGTATATCACAAATTACTGATATTGAACAGTACTCCGCATATGTTTTCACGCACGCAACCGTAACTAGTGTACTTCTTAAAGTCAATAAAACTTAATTTAGTTAATTTAGTTGTATTTGTTTAGAGACCGTTTGCCCTTTAAAGTAAACGCTTTTTCCTGTTAACTTTTTCCTGGCTGATGTGCAATATGTCTTTTTCTGACGACTAGCTTTTAGGAAAAATGCAACCAACGAAGACCCAACGGACGTAAGTATTGTTGATATAACTTATTTTTTCTGTTGACAGATTTTAACATTCCCCCAGAGATCCAAGGCTCTGTGATTTTAGTCAACCCTGTACCTTTAATTCGCAGCTCCCAACGGCATACTTCCCACAGGTTTTCAACACAAAACATTACAAGGATTTACCGAAGTTACCCCCTCCAAATGGATACAAACTATCTAAAAGCAGGTGAATGAAATGAGGAACTGAAGAGCAATGTATGGTCAGAGCGTCCCCCATAAAACAGTGCGAAACATGACAACAAAGGACAATCCTATAAATCTGTATGCGGCCGACTCTCTCACTGTGCAGCCTCTAGATTTCACCGTGCTGAGTGAAACAGCAGTGACCCCGGTAACACATATGGAAACAACAGAGACTTTGTACAAACTAAGTTACACTGTCTGTGTTAAAGCTGATTCCAGTGAATCTCATCAATTGTTTATAAGCCTGTCTGCAAGAGAATGTGAGTGTCGGTATAAGAGAGTGAAAGCCGAGGTGTTCATTCAAGATCCTTTCAATCCAGTGCTGTTCACGGAAGATTCAGAGAGATACGTCGATGTGAGCAACATTGTTTGTGCCCTAACAAGCTATAACCACTATACAGTGAAGATATCTTACAGTTTGAAGAAGGTGATGTTATTCACAGGGGCGGATCCAGGATTTTTTTAGGAGGGGGTGCACTCGTCTCTTGCTCTACTTCAACACCAATAAACCATATAGTTTTTTTTTTGGCAGAATAGCAGTTGTATTAGAAAACCGCAGGTCATCTCAGGCGGGGGGGGGGGGTGCGCCCCCCCTGCACCCTCCCCCTAGATCCGCCCCTGATTCATTTCCTTAATGTGCTTGAACATATATACCAATAAAGTCGTCACTATTGCGGAGGCAGCTGAGACAGTTGAGATGACAGAAACTACAGCCGATGAAGCACAGCATGAGTGGATTCCAAGCAGAAGAAAGGAGCGGTTCGAAAGCGGTTTTTCAACTATCAAGAAAACAAATATGGAAAACAATGCCGGCAAACATTTTTGGGGATGAAGGGAATCTGAGCTTAAATCATTTTAGGGAACAATTGGTTTTATTAATGGGGAACAAGAGATAACATGAAAAAGCATTAAGGGATCATGGGAAAATGCACCTTCCCCCCCCCCCCCTGGTAGGGGCTCATCTGAGACACTTCTGGCGTATTTGGAAACATTCGATCGTTGGGTGCCCCTGAAGAGGACGAGAAAAATGTAATGGAAGGTGAGGAAGGCAAATGAATCTAAACGCTTTTCTTTTGTCTAAAAGCGATGATTTCTTACAATGTTTTGTCACGCTGGTGCCAGCTCGTTGGTGTCCAAAGCTTGGAGCAATTTATAGTGCTTCCAAGACTAAAGAGTGCTTTTTAA